TTCTTCGCTACGTATTTGATTGACATCAGAACTATACCGAGAAAGAAGCGCATAATGAATTCACATTTTTTCGATGAAATACTTAAGACTGAGTTTGCAAACGTTATTTAAAGTTTATATGGTGTGGATAAATTGAGTTTGATTTGCAATCTGAGATTCGCCCTTCATTCTTTGATTCCTATTTCTCGCTTGTACATCAATATCGCCGCCATCATCCTTCCTATACAATTCTTTTATTTTTCGCTTTATTTCAATCAATCCTTCTTTCTTTTCTACCGTTAATTTTATCTCTTTTACTTTCTGGAATTTATAATCCCTCATTCAATTTCATTTTCTTTCCTTAAAGAAAGTTCTTCACTCTTCTTCATTTCATTCTTCTATCTTTTTTCAATTTACAATTAATTCAATTTCACATTGTCAGTGGCAATGGATTGGTATAAATACTTATTTCCATGCGTTGAATTCACACGATGCTTTCAAAAATGCACAATTTCCTTGCTAGTGGATTTCAAACTTTTAATATTAATGCTTTTGTTCTTATTATAATGCAATCATTTATGTAAACAATGTTTTTTAATTCTGAGAAACGTACTTAAAATATTTGATTCATGGATAAACAATTTTAAAATCTTTCAAATTTTCATATTCACTTTGTATGAAATGTTGATTTTCAAAGTTGATGTAAATATTAATATCAGTCGAAAAATATTTATGAATATTAATACAACTTTTAATCAATACCTACATCTCTTCTGTCTAATTTAAAAAGAATTATTAACATTATACAAACTTCAAAAAGAAACAGTTTTAGTCTGAATCATTAAAGCTTGTTAATATAATATTTACTAAAAATCTATTATAAAAAATAATTGAACCAATCGATTTTATTTATATGTGATTAAATTAAAACATGTATATATTCAAATGATTCATTAAATTAGAAATTATTGCTTAAAAAATACAAAACTGTTTCATAATGGGATTTTTTAACCATATAATGTATAAATTTATATCATTTATAAATGAAATTTTTATTAAGCCAGTTACTAACTAAGAATTTATATTTCAATTAGTATAACAAAATGTTGTTGAAAAGGAAGGATGTATATTGTATTTAAGTACGATATGTCCTATATTTGTATTTTGAAATATAATTGAATTATAATGAAAATAGTGTTATCATAATATTTGACAATACTTTGAAATAATTTATATAAAATTTTACCGTCTAATGGACAATTAATTGAAATTTGAAATTAATACGCAGCTCTTAAATCAGATAAATTTTTACCTGTGGAATGCGATAATTTTACAGTATTATATCGAATAATAGTTAAGATTAAATATATGAAATTTGAAGTGAGTAATTTGCTAAGTACGCTTTCAATGATTGAAATCATACCTTTGACCAGAGTTACAGTTTCGATAAATTCAGATGGGCTGAAGATCGAAGCTGCTTATAAACTGTAGAGAACAGTATTGACGAAGGATGAGTAGGGAAGCAATAGGATGAGGTGCTCGTCCGTCACTTGTATGCGGGTGGGGCATTTAGACAGGCAGTTTGATTCTCGTCGAAAGGGCGCCGGTGTCTCGTGGCACCCATTGTACCGGCATTGTGTGCAAACTATATTATATCAGGAAGTGGCCACGGCTTCCCTTCCGCAGTCCATAATTCAATGTCGCGCGAGCCGTGGCACAATACCACGCTGCTTTTTCGCTCCTCCCCTTACCACACCCTTTATCTTGTCAACGTGTGGGGTCGAGATGACAGGACGTGCAACGTACAAGTCAGGCAACACAACACCGTACCCTTCCAATGCGTAACATTAAATTACAAGCGCATGCAAGCCTCTTAGAACGGGGGCGGAGACTAAAGGAGCACAGTATCCCAACCTTATAAACATTTTACTAACTCTTCTTTGTCTATCCTATTCTATAATTAACTCTCTCTTTCCTATCTCTTTTTCTCGCGCTATTTATAAATGATGATATATCATATAGATTAGATAGAAAATTTAAATTTAAAAATTTATCTTAATATTAATTTACATTAGTGTATAATTGATAATTTCATAATTAAAATAGTTCATGTCTAAAAAATTGATTGCTATTCAAATTAAATTTTATTTACATCCATTATATTGTTATCAGAAAAAAGATGTATAGTGAAAAATAATCAAAGTTACAAATTCAATTAAATATGTCTACAAATAGAAGTCTTTTCTACCTAAATTTAAAAAATAAGATCAACTGCAATATTGAATTAAGTATCTGTAATAAGTGGCTATAGCTAAAAACGAAAATATATTGTTTAATTTTTATTTATTTGCCAATAGTACTTCAAGCTTTTAAAGCCTTTTATAATTTATTTTAATTTTTATATATTGTATATATTTTATATATTATATATATTTTACATATATATTGTAATTTATAAATATTCTAAATCTTATTTAAAAGATTTATTTTGTATATATATTTTAAAGAATTATGGAAATAAAGTATTGAATTGAATCAACAAAAACATGATTTTTAAGATAAGTTATCTTTTTCCTTCTCGTTTGTTTAAAATTTTTTAACTATCAAGGTTGTATTTGGAAAATAAATACATTTAATAAATTCCAAATTATTATAAAATTCTTATATAGTGTGTCGAAATTTAAAAATCATATTGAACAACCTTTTACAAAATTACTTCTACAAAATTTTAAAAAACAAGATTACAAAACAAAGTATACAATTACTTAATACTAACAAGTTCAATTTATATAATTAACAATTCCATTAATTCAGTATAAAGAATAATTTTATCTGGAAACCTCAAAGCATTAAAATAAATTCTACAATATTTTTTCTATTTTACATTTATATTCTTTTAAGAACGAAATCTAAATTTATGGTAATGCTCAGTCTTTATTGCCAATGCGAATTTTCATGTACAACCATGTATACGTTGCATTGTAACCCAACCACCAGAGACCGCTCATATATTTCAACTGCATCATAAAACGTCTAATTACTCCTATATATGTGTGTGCTCTCAAACATTGAAGGAGTAGTAGCTTCAAGACTTTCCATGCTAATATTCTAATCTGCATAATATTAAGTAAGTCAAGTCTTTTACAACATCCTCGTGGCTTCCTCATAATGCTGCTTTCCTACAAATTTTAATTTATTTTTTCCTGTGCTCCAATATACAAATATTGCGAAAAGGATAAAGTGGAAAATTTTGCAAATATGAAAATCCACGTGTCATTACTTAAATTTATAATTATAGTATTAGCGAATTAAATAGACTTATTATTAGAAACTTTATATATCCTCTGTCTATTGTAACAACAGCTTCCAACGCTCTTAATGAAAAATTTTTACATATGCGATATCTCATCCATATTTATTTTGTTCGTTTTTATTGATTTAATTCAAATAAGTTTCTGAAGCGCGACGGTGGTACATACTTAGTACAATTTTATATCTCCCGAGCTCGATCATCTCTATACTTTATTCTTTTCTATTATTTAATCTTCAAATATCTGATATGATTAAAATTAAGAGGAGATTGAAGAGTGTTCAAATATAAATTTGTTCGATATTCTCTACTACAAAAATCGAAATTAAAAATAACTTGAAAGTTTATTTTTATAAAACTCAATTTCTTGATAATTCATAGCCATAACAATTTGTGATTGTACAAAATATCGAAATTGGACTGGACAAAAATTGGAAGATCAAATCAATTCTATCATGTTCGAATTCTAAGAAATAATTATATGTATTATAAGTATTAAAAGTTGTGTATTAAAAGTTGTGTATTAAAAGTTGTGCTTAGCGAAGCATACAATACTAAATAAGTTTTTGCATAAGTTGTGTTACTATAACTGTTGAAAATATACATTTTGTATTAGTTCAAGTAGACAAATATGTAAAAATAGCATTAAAATAGATTTGATGTGTCAATATATATATATTTATAAATTTAATACGTAGCCTATTGCTAAAAAAGGCTTATGTGATATTAAATCTGTAATCGATAAATAAAAATCTGGTATTTCAATAGTTAAATATTAGTTACATTTACTGAATATATGTTACTTAAAAGTAAACTAATTTTAGCACTATACAACTTAATATCAATAAAGCAGATGATCAATACAGAAATAAAAATTATTGCATAAAAATTAAATAAAAATAATCAGAGCAGTGTAAAAATAATAGATTTGTGGTGTATTATTTTTCAAAGCATGAGAAATATTGAAGTTATGGCAATTAACATTAATATAGAACACCGTTACCGCGTAAATAGTTCAACCAAAGAAATTCCATGTTCATCGCTTCAGTTACCCGCACCTTCTTAACGACAATGAGAATATTTTTTGCACATTGAACTCTTCTGTAAAATAATTATATTCATAATTTTTTATGCTTTTAGTTTTTAACGTTATTCGCACCTTCTTGAATCTTTCATCTCTTAAATTTTATGTTTCTTTTCAGGCTTTTTAACTCGATTAATGTTTTCTGCTGATCTGCCTCTTTCTATCACTCACCTTTCTATCACTTTCATAAAGATTTTATAACCTTAAGAATATTCAAATATTAATATTCCGATTTTTGTTTCTATGGCTTATGCAGATACATCTATTTGTAATATACGTGGCTATTTATGCGGTTTTTAAAATGCTTATATATATAAATTAAGTGAATTATATGTTTAGTATTCCGTTAAACATATCTACATTACCTATAAATCCCCGTTCTTTCTCTCTCTCTCTCTCTCTCTCTCTCTCTCTCTATCACTTCACATATTCATTGTACATAGTACATATTTATATAGTGGATAATAATATAGAACTACTAAATCCACGAATTGAATTCAATTCGATGGGGTACATTCGTTGCTTAAATCACGACATTTGAGTTTGATGAAAATTAAACTACTCATCCGACATCATAAAAACACCGAAGAATGAAATAGAGTACGAGATGTGAAATAAAGCAAAATTATGACAAGTAAGTAAGTATGAAGTAAGAAATAAAAAATATAAAAAAAGTGAAAATAAAAGGAACTATATTTAATTTATTGTTTCTGTCACTAAAAAATGCAATTATAATGTAATTAGTTAAAAGTAGATTAAAAACTTTGACTAGAATAAGAAACCTGTGGTGTAATATATCGATTGATCGTTTCTTAATATTGCAGAGATTCAACTCTGTTATAAAGTAACTGGCAGTATTATAAGTATACTCTATTTATAATTTGTATTTACTCACATATAAACAGTTGGGAAATAAGTTCACTTTTATTTTATTATCAAAATTATGGAATATTCAGTTCTAAATGTGAGTATAAATTATGTGTTTACTATTAAAAAATTACTATAAATATTAATTAATAAATACTATATAAATTGCGCACCAATAACTTCAAAACTCATTGTATTATATTTTATGTAAGTGGCAATTGTATAGAATTTAAACAAATATATAATGTTGTATATGGTTGGTATGTTTTTTAATAAGATAAACAGCTTTCTTATTCATATAGAATATTAATATAGATGCAAAACAATATGTGAAAAATATTTGTTTTAATAATTGTGTCAAATTGATTATGTCATAGCATTATGCTAATTATACGATTAATTGCATTTATATTTTATATAAAATATTGCATATATCAAAATTTTTTAATTTCGGTTTGTAGCAAATATTTAAGAAACGGATAAAATTTAACAAAATATAAATGTATGAACATATAAAAAGCTTTTAGTTATATAAACAAATGTATAATTCAACATTGTAATAAAATAATTTATGTGATATTAAATATTCCTGTTAAAATTTGAAATATTTAATACAGTATATATCGTTATTTTAAATATAACCTGTAATGATTAAAATACAATGTTATATAATGATACATGGGACGTCAGTGAAGTAGCACTTTTTACTTATTACAAAATGTTTAATATTTGTACAAATAACCTTAATATTAATTGACTGTTTGAATATGTTCAAATTTTTTGTAAACAATTTCAAAATTAATTAATATTAAATAAAAAATTGTAAAATTTTATATTATTTTTTGTTTACTTTAGATAAAACTGTAGTTAGTTTTTAATTAGTAGTTGTATTAATTTTTTTTACTGTTTATATATATATTTACTCCGTTATTTCAATATGTAACAAATATTTCCGGAAGTAACTTTACCCAAATAAATAATTCTTAGATTCAATAAGTTTTTGTATTTCCTTTGACTAATATCCATTTGATACTTCAAATCTTAAAATTGTATTATGTATGAAATAGTATAATTATTCATTATTTGATTTTGAATATTAGTAACATGATACAAGTCATTATAGATTTATAAGAATATTAATTTGTACAAAAATATTATTCAATTCAGATATTAAAACATATTATTTCTATAAAATCAATTTCATATACTCATACATAGCTTATTTTTAATTTTATACATATAATTTAAGTACTTTATTTGCAAAATCACATATATCAATAAAAATCTTTTAAAAGTAAAGACATAATAGATAACTGTCATCATAATTTTGTGTAAATATTTATGTTTAGTAAAAAAAAGTTATAAATAGATATTAATAAATAATATTAAATATTAATACCTTTAATTAGGACTGCATAATAAATATTATGTCAATTTTATCGGCCAAAATATTAATCGTATTTGTAAATATTTATATTTTATAGTTATCCTTCAAATCATGAATATATGTAATCACTTTTGATATTAAAGAATTTGTCGATATATGTATAATATTTCAATTATTATAATTGAATAATAATTATATATTACAATATAATCTTCTATTTTTCTTTTATTCACTAAAGCAGTCTAATTTTGAAGGTATTAATATATTACGATGATAATCATAATTATGATATATTTTGATAAATTTTCGATTTTTATGACAAGTAAAAATTGAAGGAAACTACTAAAATAATATATTTATTATAGCTGTATATTATATCCAACATTGATTTCGATTTACATTATTATATATAAATATCAACAGTAGGATTTAAAAATTTTTTTCTTTTATAATATTTTATCTTTTTGTTGTATATTATATCTTTTTGTCAAAATATGAATTTAAATAATTTAATTGTTTATTTAACAAAGATTCACGAATAAACTTCAAAGTATATAATGAATTTATAAATAATTCAATAATTTGTAATATGATGCCTCCGATGAAATCAATATATACTAAGAACTGAAGACTTGATATTAATTTAACATTAAAATAACCAAAAAATCTGGAAATTACTCTATCATTAGTGATTACAGGTGTAGTCTCGGTCGAATTAATGCTGACCAAGATACATAAGTTATGCAGATAAATTTAAACTGTACATTTACGCTACATTACTAACTGAGTGTAAGCATATGGAAACATCCTCAGTAATGTTTTAAGAACAGCTCTTCTTTCTACTAGCGCTGTTTAATGTGATCAAAGCTTCAAAAAGCCAGAATGTACTGATATACTAGAAGCCTACTAGATTATTCGATCAGCCTCAGTCATCAATCTTACCCGAATTTCCCAGTTGAATTTTCTCTGACTCCCTTCTCACGATGTTACTTTTTATTTTTACTACTTAGTTATGACACCTACATTATAATTATAAGCATGGTACATATTATAAAATTGTTGAATAATTTTAATATTATATCGTATTGAATTTTCTTTAATATGAAAAAACTTACATTTCATTTCGATTTACAAGCTAGCTCGCTTAAATACTCAAGTCAGCTGGTAATATATATTTTTAAACATTAATATTTAATATTTAATTTAATATTAAGTAATAAAAATTAATTATAAGATTTATATAATAGTTATGTAAAATTTTATATGGCAATTTCCAAAAAAAATTGTTTATATTATTTACACAACCACGTACATATATATATTACTATAGAAATAAATAATTTTTTTTCAATATATTTTTTGATACTTCATATTCTTGATAAACAGAAAACACATAATAATCTAAATAAATCATTTAACAACAATTCATCTTTATTATGAAATTAAATTTTTTTGTTCCAGTACCTCTGCTTAACATCAATGTGGTTGAAGGAAGGGCTATAGAACTACCTTGTAACATAACGGCACCCGGATACGATACTCTAGATATGGTATTCTGGTTTAAGGATGGTTTGGGGCCTCCTCTATACTCGTGAGTAATTTTTACTGATTATTTGATTTGATTCGATATTGATTTATATTTTGTTTTATTTATTGAAGAACTTCATTAAAAGTTTATTATATGAGAAATAAAAAATTACTGTTCATTTAGTGGTGAAAAAAAAGTAATTAAACTTATAAAAATTTACCGATTTAGAGAAAGAAAGATATTAATTAAAAGAATTAATTATTTCTTCTGATACCATAGAAAATTCGAAATTCTAGGTCTGTATATGAAAATGAATGAAAATCATAATTTTAGATATAATATTGATATAGATTTTAGATTAAATATTGAAAATTAATAAAAATGTCTGTTTAACTCATATTGTTACATTTATACATTAAAACTACCGAATAATTATTCGCTCAATAATGTTTAGGTTATCAAAAAATTAATTTTTCTTGGTGTACTTCTTTTTATATTCCTTGTCTAAACAAAATTCAACAACATTGAACTACTATTAGTAATAATTAATGCACTTTTGCGAAGAATTTAAAAATATACTATCATTCTATAAATTTAAAAAGATTTATACCAAGATTCTTTTAAAACGCCTAAAAAATATTGAATCATTTATAAAGAACATCAATGAGTATTCATGATTTACATAAAAATTTTAAATGCGCAATATATCAATATAATTTTTTTATTCACTATAAAATTAAGAAAAAATGTAAAGAAGAAAATTATTATTTCATAAAAAACAATTATTTTTCTTTTATGTAAAACTATCCATCGTATTTTAACAAACTACCATTATATATTTAGGTATAGTAAAAAAAAAATATGTAAAGTTTTCACAAGAATAAGATCATTATTCAAATTTTACTTGAATATATTATATCATATATATTATAACAAATTATATAATGAATATTTTATATTTTTATAATACATTTTCAGTTCCTTCTAGATTATACTTTTTATTGGATTATATTATATACTATTTAGATTTACTATTCTGAATTTTATTTTAAAGTAAAAAAGTGGTAAAAATGATAAATAAATACATTAGTAGTAATATCAACTGAGATATTATAAATATTCGAAACAATACGCTATTTATCAATCTGTATTTTAAAATCATAAAATAAAATAATGGTTTTTCATTATATTGTCAGATTCTTTAAACAACTTCCCTAAATGCTAATCATAATCTATTTTCCGGAGACCCTCTACTTTAGTTCTACGCTTAAGTATCTATTATAATAAAATTATCTATTAATATCTGCTATATATTTTTTTAAATAAAGAAACTTCATATTATATATATTATAATTGATTAATTTATAATTAAAATCAGAAATACTAATGTGAATATTTTCTTGCAAATACATATAGTAAAATCAGTTATTTTTCTATTATAGAACATAGACGAATGAATAAAATAAATATAAAACAAGTCATTTTAAAAAATTTATTTTTAATAATCTTATTAATTATTTTCTTATACAAATATTACTTTTAATTATTATTTAATTTATCAATTTTAAGATATACATATCTTTTTCATAAATACGCACGTCGAGTTAATAAATAACATTTAAGATCATCAATTAATTAGTACTTAAATGTTTTTTTAATTAATACATGTGATTTTTTAACTAATAATTTAAATTTCAGGGTAAATAACAATGGGTTTAAAAATAAATTGTATAAATCTGTATTAAAATTGACTATATATATTACAATAATTTAAAATTTTTTCCATATTTAAAAAAAATATATTATTGGTGAATTTATAAACTATAAATTATTTAGTATTATGAAAAATAATTTATAAAGAATCATTTAGAAATGTTAATTTACAATGGATAATTTACAAAAATATTAATTTGAATATTTCTATAGATATTTTCTTTAAAAATTATATATTAAAACATTTTTTTATTGAAATTGAATTAAAAAATTATCGTAAACATTTTGTAGGTATTAGAAAATATTTTGTTGGAATATATAAATGTAGTAATAGGGAGTACTCCGTAGAAAATTTGTATTCAATAAAGCAAATTATCTAATACTTTCCCTATCAGCTAATAGAAACTATTTTAATAAAATGTTCAATGCAGAAATTATTTTTTTATTGAACCTCGTTTGTTGAACTTGAAAATCATACTTGAAAGCAAGCGGCTCGTCTGCCTGATATATTATCAGAATTTTACTGATTTATATATTAAACATTATACAAATTATGTTCAAATAAAATTTATTTTATAATTTTTATTCCGTTGAAGTGTCAAGTATTTATTTTTCTTCTAGTATTCTATGTAATATACAAATTCTATGCAATTTTCAATATTATTTTTATAATATTTTATATGGAATATTTTAAAATATAATATATGTATAAAATACTTGTGAAATCATGAATTAAATATATACATATAAAGCATTAATTAAATCCTTAAATTTCTCACATTACGTATACGTAATATATTTTCAAATTCTATTATAGTAAACCTATATTTAAATCACTTAGAATTCTTATTTGGTGATTTTTTCAAATATAAAAGCTATCTAATTGATGATAGAATATGCTTTAGCATAAAGAAAAACTTATAACACTATGTATGTGCTGATTAAATTCAGACACAATAAGCTATGGCATTTTCATCTCACCTTATGACATGTAATTCTAAAATGACTATTATACAAATATAAGAAACATTTATACACTTAGAAAAATTATTTTTCTTATTTGCTTTCATAATTTTATTATAATCTAATAGAATTCAGGAGAGCCGAATAAAATCTTAATGAACTTTATAGTAATGACTTTGAATGTTTTATTTCACTTTACATCAAAGAAAATGTTTGTTCTTATTTATTCTCTATTTTATAACGTACTTATATTTAACTTCATTAACTACATATAATTTAAGATAATAATAATAAATTATATATATATATATATATATATATATATATATATATATTAATAACATATAATTATTATTACTTCTTGTACTCAAAGGAGAAATATTATAAGTCGGTATACCTAATTTAATATAATCATATATTAGATAATAATAATATAATAAACGCTATATTTATTCTACACAATGTTCTACATATTTGTAATAGTCTCTGCTCTGCTCACAATCTGTTATAAATAATGTAATTGTAATTAATATATCTTAGAATCTTAATATGTTTGAAACAAAAGATCTATTTGCACGAAAGTCTACACATATTTGTAATTTTTCAACTGTAGTTTACAAAAATTTTTATTATATAATAATAGATACAATTAATTATTTTTGTTATACACCAGAATTTATATTTATTATATTAATGACATTTTATAAATGAATATGTAAAAATCTATATTACATTAATATATTTGTAATTTCATGTGAATTATAAATATGTTTTACAATTATATAAAAATTTTAAAATATCATTTTTCGAAAATATTTTTAATTGTTATAAGCATGCATATTTAATAATAATAATATTAAAGTTTATAATAAGGTTTAAATAATGTTTTTAATAATTGATCTAAATTTATTAATCAGATAGCTATAATAATTAAAAATAGTTCAATATTTATAAATTTTATACAAATAATTTTGTATAAAAACGTTACACCTACAAATTATATATTCTGCTTTAATTATAAAAAAAAATTGTACTCTCTTGTGTTACAGAGATGAATTAACAGAATGAGAAGGTTAAATACTATAACTTCGACAATGAAAAACAAAAATGTTAAGAACAATTTTATAATCAATGACATGTTTACTATATTTCTGTCCTATGTTCTTAAAATTGTATAATATTTAAATCTGTACTTTTCAATAAATATATATTAAATGTAAAATTAACAATACTACTTTTATTTATAAATATTACTTATATGAATTATTAATTACTTTATAAATATTAATTAATTAAATAAGAGTTATTAAAAGTGAAATACGGAAAATATCTTCAAAATTTAGTTTAGTAAAAATATTGTTATTTTATGATATAAAATGAGAAAATAATGTAAATCTATAAAAAACATTTATATTTAATATCAAATTTAAATATAATATGAGTTTTAATTTTTAGACATTTGACAAGACTAAATTTTATGATATTTATTATTATATTTCTAAATTTTTAAATATTGTATGAATATAGTACAGGATTGTTTTATATGTTGATGATAATTTTTATTAGTTAGATACTTGCGAGCACTTAATGGAATATTTGAACAAATCTCCTGAATTATGCTTAATCGAAATAAAATAGAACAAGCAATCGGCAATTCTCGATTATAAACATTTTCAAGCATGAAAATCGATTAGTAATAAAAATTAATGGAAACACTAATCACCGGCTGCTCAAAATAATACTCAAAATGATCGCTATACCCGTAATCAACGAGCGGATACCGTTTCTATGGAAACAGAGGGAATTAGAGTTAATCAGCAATCCATCGCCTCGGCAACGACAGAACTGAAATGATCTAGAGGCATTTGAATAATAATCAACGATATAGCGAGGGATAGAGTTCCAACTAACTAGAAACAAAAACAAGCATTAAGAAAATGAAGTTGTGCGAAATACAATCCTTTATGAAAATCTAATTCTATATCAAACACATTTCTTAATATTACTCACAATATGTAATTAAATATAATTTTGGTAACTGCTAAACCAATCAAATGATGGTTTGAGTTGATTCTATCATCCGAATTAATACGATATTAAATGTTAGTCATAACAGTAACCATAATATTTGAAAACATACTCTTATTAAAATACTATATCTTTTGATTTAATAATTTTTTTAGTAGTTAAATTTAAAAAGTTAAAGATGAATTTATGATCTTTTTTAGTTTTTATAACAAGAGATAATTTTTGGATAATTTTTATGAGTTTTACATTTTACAAAAAAAACGTTCAGTTAATTGTATCTAAATTTATAAATTGTATAACAAAATAATACATTGTTATATTTCAATTTAGGTTTCAGACAAAAATAAAGTAGTACAAGA